GATGCGTCAAACGAGACTAAAGAGTTAGTGGACACATGTGGACTCGCTGAGTTGCCCAAGTGCACTCGACGAGTTGGGTTAAAGTTTGTCATTGACTTTGGTTGAGTTTTAGGGTTTGGTCAATAATCAGGGCCTCTGGGCCAAAGAAGGGGTAAAATGGTCTTTTACCCTTCTGAGGGTGCCTAGAGAGGGTCGAGTCTAGTTCTGAGAGTTATATTTATGAGAGCATTACTTTATGTGTTTAGGCGGAGGCTAGATCGTATTTCTACTGAGTCAGTGATTTACCGAGACATCTGAGGTGAGTCTTCTCACTATACTTTACCTTGAGTGGTAATTATAGTCATGTGGCAAAGTTATTGTATGCTATTTACGTGATGTGTTGCACTGCATTATTTCTATGGGATTTATGCCATGTGTAGATTAGAGTATATCAGAGTTAGAACCAGAAGGTTCACATAACTAGGACCAGAGGGTCCTCAGAGTTAGGGCCCACGGGCCCATAGAGTTATAGCCTCGAGTGGCTAGTATGTGTTATGTATGGTATTTTGGGGTACTCACTAAGATTTATGCTTAGGGTGTTATGTGTTATGTGTTTCAGGTACCAACGATGATCGCAGGAAGGCGCCGGCATGATTCGTACACACGCATGGGTTTTTATGTATTTTGATCTTGTGAAATATTTTGTGAAACAAAGTTATGATACAATGGGATTTTGTTGAAAATTTGTTTTAAATTTTACGGTGTTTCAGGGATTATGGATTAATTAGTGAGTATTCAAGTGCACAAGCCATAGAGTCTGTACGGTTAGCGTACACTTGAAGCATGCCTTGTGTACTCAAAGGAATCAGGGCTTTGTGTTGTTAGGCCTAGGTTTGGGCAACTTTCATGGAATTTGTCTCTTGGGACTTAGTGGGCCATATGGAACTGAATGTTTGGACTAGGGAAGAATTATTGGGCTCTTGGGCCAAGGCCAATGCAAAGGGATTCGGTTAAAATTGGAAATTGGGCCATATATTGGGCCTTGTTGAATTGTTTATCTCTTCTGGGTCATTAGATTATGATTTTGGGTTTCATTCTTGGACCAAGTTATATTAGTGGTAAAATAGTCTTTTTAACCCATGTAGCGGTTTTTGGTTAATGATGCATATTCCGTTGTTAATTAGTTTTTATTTGGTAATTGGTAGCTCGGGGAGCTGTAGGACCAGCAGTGAGGGATCATTTGTTTCATTCAGCTTTTTGAGGTGAGTTTCCTCACTGGGTTTAGTGGGTCCAAGGCACCAAGGCCGACCCTTGTTTTAGTATCTTGATATACTTGTTGTCTGTGTCATGCAAGTATGAGATTGTATATGTATCACTCATTGGGCGGGGCCCGTATCTCATTGGGAGGGGCCTCTTATACGAGTGTGGGTGGGGCCCGTACCACATTGGGCGGGGAAAGTTATGCGAGTATGAGCGAGGCATGTATCTCTTTGGGCAGGGCCCGTTACGTGATATGTATGTTATGTGGTATCTTGGGGAACTCACTAAGATTTATGCTTATAGTTTTTAGTTTATGTTTCAAGTACTTCTGGTTCCAAGTGGAAGAGCTCTGGTTGACTGCATCACAAACACTATAGAGATTCTGTTTATGGGACGTACTCTGATTTGCATGATGCTTGACACCTTTATTTGTTTGGGATGTATAAATATTGAATTCATGTAAAATTAGGATTTAACGATTGTATCACTCTACTTAGCTTACACAGAGAAGTTCACGTTGAACTTTTCTAAGGCTGTTCAATATAAGCATTCGACATTATTTGGTCTTCATTGTTCCTGTTATTTATTCACATTGTTTATAGAATTTATCGATCTAAGTTATTATTGTTTCAACAATTGGTATCAAAGCAGGAGATAGTGTAACTTAGTCACTACTCTTCTGTCGAGTTCGATTAGGGTTTTTGTGTTTTTCATGGATATTTTATTGTCGTCTCTATTGTTTCTATCGATTGTAGACGTCAGATCTAGATCTTTGATTTGTTTACCCTAAAACTCGAAGTTTCGTTTCACACATTTGATTCTATATTTGTGTTTTGTGAATCCTTGACATCATGCAGAATGAAGAACCTCATACATTATCGTTCAATCTCTCTAGCAGTATTGGATCCAAAACTAGGATTCCAATCCTTTTTCCTCAGGATTATGAAGTTTGGGGTGTTGCACTTTGAAGGCTATATTATAGGTCTTGAAGAACATGGTGCAATAATGTTACAAGTGATGACTCAGGAAACCTTTTTTTGCCATTGCAACCAAGAAAGTTATCAAGACTCAAGCTGACTACAATGCACTTCTTGTTGAACACACTAATGTTCCTCATAATGAGAAGGATAAGCTGTTAAGCAACATAAAGGAGATGATAATTATACGGTTAGATCTTCCACTGGATACCTTTCATCTGGTAAGTACATGTACAACTGCTAAAGAAATATGGGATAAACCGAAGAATTTGTATTCTGGAGATGCATACTCTTTTATGTGAGCTTGGTTCATTCATTCAGAAACCTGATGAAAAGCTTGATCAAACATTCAATCGCTTCAACCACTTGTTGAGTAAAATTATTAAATATAATCTTCAGGGAAGGGTCATGAAATAGAAAGTGATGTTTATGAATAGACTTAGGTCATAATGGAAAGTGATTGTGTCCACTATGAAGAAACATGAACAACTGAAGAGTTATTTTTTGGCGAAGCTTGTAGGAGTTTTGAGATCTTATGAGGATGAGGTTACGAATGAGATAAAGACTGTCTCAGGTATGGGATCCCTTGCATTTGTAGCAAAGGGAAAGAAGGCGACCAAAGAAGATTTTGAATCTTATCTCTCTGACAGTGAAATCTTCACTGAAGACATGGCACAACTAGTTTCCAACTGTAACAAGTTCTAAAAGAAAAACTACTCTCACTTTTGAAACAAATACTGGTAGGGTGGAAATTCTAGTTCCAAAAAGGCTAGACATGAGGGTTTCAAGAAATCTCAAGCTGGTGATGAGAAAAAGGAGAAAAAGGTTCTAGGTGATTCTGGATATAAATGAAGTTTTTGTAGAGGATGAAGTTGATTGCTCAGAGTTTGTACCAACTAATCCTGAACCAAAGGAAAGTTAATTTCTGAAAATTTAATTGAATACGTTCGTGTTGTAGAAAATAAAGGTTCCAGTGTTTTAAATGCAAAATCCATGGTCTTTCCAACAGTACAACTGTTCCACATCAAGTTTTCATAACAACTGGACTGGACAAAAATGATACGTCATAACCAACGTCCCTAGTTAACAATGATAATGTTGATGGGTGTGATGAATTTTTATGGTTTCGACCAATTGACAATGCAGATGAGACAAGATGTTTATTCGAAATGATCTTATGGAAAACAAAAGGAAAATATGTTTCGGAACCACTGAATCGTGTTGACCTCTGTTACGATTAGGCTGGTCCTAGTGACACTAAAGATGTTCCAAGTGAAACTTCATTTGAACAGACCCATACACAAATCTGAAAAGAGAAACCCAGGATTAATGTTCATTTGTCTACTGAAGAAATTTTTGCTAAGAAAAGACTAATGAACGCTAGATATATGAAAAACTTACAAGAAAGAAAGCGTTGACTGTTTTGTTACGAGTTGACTACTTTGTCACTAATTTATAGTAGAGGTATAGTTTCTTCTTCAGAACCAACCTCTTATTTTTACATCTACCACTGAGGTTTATGGTTACACATCTGAGAATTATGGTTACACAACTACCACTGAGGTTTATGGTTACACAACATCTACCACTGAGGTTTATGGTTACACAACTCTCAACATATACCACTGAGGTTAATGGCTACACAACATCTACCACTGAGGTTTATGGTTACGCATCTACCACTGAGGTTTATGTTGAAACTGTCAACATCTACCACTGAGGTTTATGGTTACACAACTTCAGTGTTGATGATCTTGAAATCGTAATAACCAAGATTTTAAGTGAGACCCAAAATGCGAAACCCATTTCTGAATTAACAGTGAACAATAAATTTTCTAGAATTTTCAAGAATGAATTGATGATTAATACCTTATTGGTTAGTATAATTTTCTTGTTAAATCTCATTTTTCTTTTTGAGTGATCTTAATGAAATGTTCTCTACCTAAGACGTTTTTTCCCAAAAGATCAAGAATTTTTTTCTTGAGATTTCTTTTATATCCAATAACATAAACAATATCTAAAGCTTACCTGTTCTTATGGCTACACTAGTCAAACAAGTACTTTTTTCCATATCTTCAAACTTATGTTGAGTTTCAGAATTTGGTTGAAGCCTAAGCAACCCATACAACCTACTTAAAAGAAGCGTTTCACTATTTCATAATAAATACATGATCATAATTCAACGGGTTGCCACAAAAGCACTTCCGAGCCTCTCTTGACTTCGAAGTTAAAGATCGTTGCCCAAAATCAATCTAAATTTGTTGTTATTTTTCTTTTACATCACTAAATCCCATAAATTTATTTTGTTTTATTTCTTTTTATTTCGCACAGTCTTGCACAAAAATATTTAGAATTTTTCCATGTCTGGTTCTAATTCGTGATGATTACTGTTATCCAGAGAATGTGTTAAAGTGAAGTGACATCTTATTCCGAAACATCAAAGTTGAAAAACCTGTTTCATCGGGATAAGGATTCAAATAAGGCACGTTTATTTCAAATCCCTAACATCACAGGTGTCGGTTACAATACCGCCTGACACATATAACTGTCACGTCTTCCAAGGCTGATTTACTAGGATATGGAAAAATCAAGGCATGATTTTCTCTTACCTATCATGATGTATATCAAGGCTTTGACAATTTCTTTTCTCTGATAGCTCTCAAATACTCTCAAGGCAAAAGGAAAAACCCTTTTCTCTCTACTCACTATTAATCTTCTTTAACTTCTATCATGGACAGATCATCTAAAACAACTTGATTAACTGACCAAACTACAGCTGAGATCATGTTGAGCGTAAAGCCTAGTCAGAATCTCATTCTTGATCTGCATTCATCACGATACAATGAACCCCTAAAGCCGATGATTGAATGTCTGCAGTTTTCCCTAATTGCTCAAGCTTTGATAATGGTAGATTCAATTCCACTATTTCATCTCTCAAAGGCATATTCGTTTGCAACATACCTTCAACCTGATGGCCTCATAACCTTCAAGGTTGCCATTACAAGTCTTCGATCAAAAAAGCTCATTTTTGTAGAGTGGTAGGGCTGTATTCATCTGAAGGCCTTGTTGATCCATACTCGATATCATAAACTTATCTCATCAACATGTTTTATCAGATGAGATATATTGGGGATATCACGTTGCTGTCAAAGTCAGCAAAGCCCAATCTTCCTTTAATGTGGAACGGGCTTTTTATGTTATTATTTAAAAGCTTTTCCGAACTAGTGGCAGGATAAGAGAATGCTAGTAGGCTCTTTTACACCATTATTTATGGCCTCTACTATGGGATTAATCTGGACAAAGGCTCCATCCTCTAGACTCTACTTATTCAAAGCACTTCGTCTTCTACTCGCAGCACTGAGATATCATGTGCACGTTTTTGGTCAATCGTTGTTGAACAAGCACCTGTTCACTTCAAATTTCCCATCTCATAGGATTCTGTTGTTACTGCTATTTCGGTCGTTCAAATGTTGACATTTGTGATATCTGATCAAATGAAGTTCACATTTGTAGGATCGATTCCAAAGGTGATGCTTGCGAAGGTGCCCTCTGACCACATGATCATAAATGGGTATCGCAAGTAGCCTGTTTCTGGTGCTTGGCTTGTGCCAGATGACTTGAAATAGGTGATTGATGAAGAAAAGAAGCCGAAGTTGGTTGCAAAACGAAAGGGAATAGTTGTCCCTTCGGAAGCTTTTAAAACACCAAAGAAGAAGGTTATGAAGGCCACTCGAAAACTGAGGTCACCATCTCCAGTATAGGAGGCATCAGAGTCAAGAACTCAATCGGAGTTTTGTGAGGGTGAACCGATTCAAAATGAAGTCGAAGATACCATATCTACTTTTTTACCACCTTCATCAACTCCTATTCTAAAGTCATCCACTCCACGTCCCACTACTACACTTGTTTCTAGTTTCTTTTAGATTCACACTCCACCACCATCTCTGATAACCACTTAATCTCCAATCACCACCAATGTACCAATCTTCATTTGTCCATTACCGAATTTCTATGTGGGTGTTTCTCTACCATAATTCTTTTTTCCATTCTCCACTCCATTCTATACAGACTCAAACCCAACCACAACTTCCACAATGAGTACTCTGATGTCAACTATCAATGTATCTGATACAGGGGTACATGTTGATTTTTGTATTACTAAGGGCCTAAGAAAATATACTACTTCACTTCTACGAGAAGATGATCTCGACATTGTTTTTGGGGGTCATCAAGAGGCTTTTCAGGATTTTACCTTCAACCCCTTTACCATTCATCAGAACAACGACGATGTCCCAATGACTCGTGGGCAATTTAAACAACTTAGTACTATGTTGGATTCAATTATGGAGTCAACTATTACTTCATCTAACTACGAGTTCATGCTAAAGTCACATAAACCAATGGTTAAGATTCTCAACAAAGACAATGCAAAAGTCCTTGCTGAAGCTACAAAGACTATCCAAGCATCAGAGTCAACAATTTCAGATGTGACCGCAAAAGTTGAAAAACTACATAATGAAGTTACACAGTTCATGGTTGACTTTCGAAAGTCCTCTAATTAAAATATCTGAGATGTCAATAAGGTTATTGCTGGTCTTAGATCCAATCTGCAAGATGAAAAGGAAGCTCTTTCTCGTGTCCACTCCGAGATCAAGGCTGATAGTGATGAACTAAATACCTCTGTTGTGTCCAATATTGAGAAACTTAAGGCATATCTTGCTACTGAGAACACTATTATGGATAAACTCGCTCAGAAGACTGAGAAGGTTAAATTTATTTCTTTCAAGTTGAACTACTCGTAAGCGCGTCTTGATGATTTGGAATCCGAGAAGACTGTCATCAAGAACAACATTTCCGAAGTAAATCCGTATTTGCAACAACTGATTAAGACACATGATTCACTTTCTCACTGTCTCGGTTCGGCAACATCTTGCCGAAAAACTAAAAACAATATTTTCAATGCTTAAAAAGATAGAGGGTGTTTTAGAATGTGATGTTGTTCCGAAACAAAGGGGAGAAATGGATACAAAAGAAAAGACGAAGAAAAAGATTGTGGAACCAACTGACGAAACTTAGTAGAAACCAAACACAAAGGATCAAAAGGATAATGAAACTTCTACATCAAAATACAAAGAGAAACTATTTAATGATGAAGAAGAAGAGGAAGTATTATTCGAAGGTGAAAAGCTGATAGGAAAGAAGCGTGATGTTGAACTTGATAATCTCTTAAGAGTTTACAAAGAGTTAGAAGCGAAGGATGCTGATGCCGAGATTGTGAAAATCACTCTTGCAACTTAGAAGTCCCTATTTCCCCCATGGACACTTGAAAGGATTCAGAAGGAGGCTATTGATGAACCAATAAAAAATTGGTTAGAGCCTTTGGTTTCCTTTGAGCTAAACAACACTTAAAAATCACAACTTGACTTCACAATTACTCCTAGGGCGTTTTATTCAGGTGTTTTGGGAAGATTGAGAAATTCTGTCTTTCGTATGATGATGTTAATCAAATACTCTTTTCTTTAATATCAAATATGGAAAACCCCAATTCCAGACTTGGAGTTTACAAAATATTGTCGCAGTGAAGGTGTATACGCCCTATCCAACCGAAAGCTTCATCAACATCAAATTCAAAGGATTCAGAGGAACCAATCGTAATGATTTTGAATTCACTCTTGCTAGTATACCTTGCGTGAATCCTTATCATTGGATTTCCTTGTTCGTAATTTTATCCAAAGATGAATAGAAGTATGAGCCCATCATAACTCATCTTAAGAGAATGATGATTTGCTACATTTAGGAGATTGCAAAAATGGATGTAGAAATTGCAGCTGTGATGAAAAAGAAACCAATTTTGTAACCAGAAGAAGAATTGAAGGATCTAAATAAGATGAAGCTGGGCAAAATTAAAAAAGCGAACTGGAGTGTAATTTACCAGAGGAAAATTGATCAGAAAGTTTAGAGATGTATATTCTTTTTTCTACATAAGAACTTACATTCAAAATCTGCTCTGAACTACATCCTGGAATTAACCAAAACATGCAAATTGAATGATGTTGGTTATCATAAATGCATTTTTAAGATGATCAAATGGTACATTGTTGTTCAGAACACACTTCTGAATATGATATCAAAGTTATTCAAGGTTCAGAAAAGACATGAATGAAGAATCTCCTTCGCATTTTGACACAAAGGGGGATATTGTTGGGTTATTAAAGTGTTGCGTCAAATTTTTTGTAGTCTAATTTATTATTGTTTGGGCTTGTCTATCCGTGATTATTTCTTCCTAGGGTTAGACTATAAATATTACATGCATGTAACACTAGGGTTTAACGATTGTGTCACCCTACGTAGCTTAAACAGTGAAGTTCATGTTGAACTATTCTAAAGCTATTCACCATAAGCATTTGACACCACTTGATCTTCATTGTTCTTATTAATTATTGGCATCGTTTATAGAATCCATTGATCTATGTTATTATTGTTTCAACATCATTTTAATTCCGAAACTCGTGCAAAAGTCTTGAGTCCTTTTGCTTATAAATTGGGTTATGTTGTCGTATATGATCTCTGTAGGGATCCTGGACCTAGTCATGATATCTTGCTTTATAAACAAGAGTACTTCCTTGTGTCGTATTTGAAAAAATGCTTTGGCCTCTATCCATTTTGAGAAATGGTCTATCATTACTAGTATGAAGACCTTTCCACTAGGAGCTTTTTCTAACTTCGCCACTATATTCATTCCCTATTTCATAACTGGCCAAGGGTAAATGATAGGATGTAATGGTTCTGGATGTTGATGAAGGATATTGTTATGCCCTTGACTAGCATCACATTTTTGTGCATATAAGAAGCCGTATTTTTTCACCGTTGACCAGTATTATCATGTCCTTAATACGTTAGAGCATAAGGATCTACGCCTAGCATGTTACCATAATATCCTTAGTGTATGTCCTTTAATACTTTGGTAGCTTCATGATTTTCTAGGCATCTCAAATATGGACCAACCATAGATTTCATGTATAGCTTCCCTTAGATTATCACGAATCTTGATACCCTCATCCGGAATGCTCTATCGATTTTCTATTCCCTTGGGATTATACCATTATGAAGATATTCCACTGTAACGACCCAAAAATCAACGGTAAAAATTTCATTTTTAATATAGCTAAACATTGATACCATTTATTCTAAACAATTCAAATCTTCATTAAGTAAAACGTTTATCAGAGTTCATCCTAAAACCATTCATTGCAGAAATCATAGGTGTGTGCACTACGATCAATCCAAGCCTTTCCTTTCCAATACGATGATACCTGAAATCATAAACAAAACATGTAAGCACGGAGCTTAGTGAGCTTCCTAGAGCATACCATACACAGAAACCACATATCACATATCATGTTGCTATAAAAGCTACTTGTATCACATATCCTGCTAGCTATAAAAGCTACATATTATTGTAGGGTTTTTAACATTCTAACACTCCTAGGATGTACATGAAACCCTAGAAACATTGTATCTATGTTTTAGTAAGATACATGTAAATATTATTTTACAAGGTTCTGAACCTAACTAGCATGGCATGGGGAAGTTTTAAACATAATAACTAGTTGAAGTACATACCTTTGGTTGTTTGGATTCCTTGAGAACCTTGTGAGCCTAGCACCTCAAGTGTAATGCCTCAAATGTCTCACACAACACCACAACACTTGGAATAACCCTGAGAGAAGTACACTTACGCTCAAAATTCCGCTAGCCCTATTGTACTTGCTTGTAGAGCCGATTTTGTTAGACAAGGGGTCTTATATAGTTGTGACACAAGTAGGGTTACATCATCTAAACCCTAATTGTCATAACTTTCCATATTCCATGATCCATGGGTTTATAACTCCCATGGACTATCAATGGAGCACCTTTTGGGTTTAGCCCAATTCATATAAACCATGGATCATTAGCCCACTATACAAAAATGAATGATTTACACAATCAACCCTATATATTTAATTAGTCTCTTTTGATCACTTAATTAATTCCAAATTAATTCTTTGATCAATACTAATTAAATAATATTGTTAATATATTAGACCTAATAATATATTAATAATTCTTAAGTGTCCTTTCTCTCATTTAGTCTCTCCAAGTGTTGCAATGCCATGAAACCCAAATGGACCATGCCAACCGGGTCAAGTAAATTCCAGAAATACTTATGAACTTAGACACCTAATATAACATTCTCCCACTTGGATAAGTTTAATAACTATAACTGCAAGAATGACTTCAGGAACCAATCAACAATCGTAGCTCTTTAAAGGTATTGCGGGACTGAGATGATGATGATACGCCATTAAGATAAGTGATCATATAATCCTATGTTCAAGATATCAGCCAACAAATACATGGAATAATGTCTAACTTATTGTCTAGGAGTTTGTTTCTTGATTCCCGATTTGTTTGACATAGAACTTAATCGAAAACATCAATTTAGTTCTGACCGGGCCCAATACATAGGTCACAACACAATCATCGTGGGGCCCAGATATCACTTCTAATCCAAGAAGGAATAAATAAACTTCGGCTCATATGCTTGTTTTACTACTTGTTGAGCCATACACAAAGGTACGATTTATAACTTCGACTTACCAATGCGTTTTTGTACAACCATTGTATAACCAACTCATAGTCAACAACTCATATCTCTAGGTTTGAAGACTTATATGATATTACCATCTCACGATCACTCGAGATATTATTGCCTAACTACTAAAACTAATATATCATCCTTCAGCCCTATGCGTCTCGCATGCTAGAGATGCTTAACCCTATGTCACAACTAGAAATTCTATGTCTTGTAATCACTATACTCAATCAAATGTTGAAATCAAAAACTCAAAAACAAGTATGATGTTTACTCAATGGGAAGCTAAACCCCAATTCACTACAACAAACAATTGGAAAACCCTAGAAGTTCTTGTTAAGTCTATTTTGGACTAGAACTTCCTTATTGGATCCAAATGGACCAATAAGCTTCCAATTGGACTATCATGGGCTTAGAACTCTAATTGGGCTCTAATTGGACCCACATCTATTTATTTCAACATTGTGAGCCATGTTGGACCTAGAATGAAATAAATTAATGACTATGAACCATAATTAACCTAATTTGACCCTAACAAGTCATAAAAATCACATTTAAATTTATTTGGACCAAAAATCACTCAACTTAACCATGAAAAATTGGGCTTAAGTATTTAAGGCCCAAACACCCTCATTTCCTCCATTATTCTCGGCCCAAAAGCTCAAGCCCAAGAAGAGGGTTGACCTTAGTGTGCCACCTCCTTATTGTCTTGTGGATCTCCATGCAAATCCATTCCATGTATCCATGCACATCACCTCATGTCTATATCTCCCTCTCTCTTCTTGAACTCGGCCGAGAGCAACACCACACACACACAAAACACTCACAAACTCTCTCTAAAATTCACTCAAGGCTTCTTCTTCTTCTCCATCCAAAATCTCGAAATTTAGGAAGCATTCAAGGAAGTTCTTCCACAAAATCATCATCTAAGGTAAGGTTTTTGCTTGGATCTATGACTTGTATTCCTTATTTATCAAAAATCTCTTCCTAATCCATGCAAAAATCATGATCTTGCACTCTAGAAACCCCATAAACTCGAAAATTTCATCAAGGAGTGCAAAGGCCAAAAATCACTTCATTTCTTCCATTCTTTCTTCAAAAACCGAATCAACATCCAAGGTGAGTTTCATATCCCCTTATTTTCGGTTTTTATGAGTTTTTGTGGGGGAGAATACAAGAAAAAGTGTAGATCCATCATTATGTGTATGTTGTGGTTGATTTCTATGCTTATGTGTATGTTTTGTATGATTTTGATGATAGATTTAGTATGAAATGCTAAAAACCGAGACTTATATCTATTATGGCATAAAATATACTACTTCATTGCAAAGTATACTAAGAAAATGGCTAAATAGCTTGACAACACTTAACTTGGGCTAAAAACTCATTTTTTTGACATAAAATGTTGAAAATACAAAGTTAAAGGGCCTAAAGTGAAATATTTCGAAATCTGATGGGTAAGATGAGTCAAAACAGTTTACACAATGTATTTTCTGAAATATACTATTTAGAGGGTTAAAAACATAAATTCCAAGCTTATTGGGCTAAATATGACATTTTCGGCCCAATAAGGCCCAATATGCGAAATTCTCTAAATTGGAGGACCAAAACTGCATTTTTCTGTAAAACAGTGGACTATAAGTGTTCCATATGCTTTTCAAAG